TTTGATGAAACTTGTTCAAAACTTATATCAAAAACTTATCTTGCGCTCTTCTTTCTCTGAAAAATAGAGAAGTTCAAAATACACCTATCCCTTTGAAAATATAAATTTCTTCTTATTTTTTTTACGTTTAAGTCTGAATAGTGCCCAAATTTTGCAACTGTCAGCAGATTTTCGATATTTATGGTAAGTGGCTCTTAATTGGTAACCGAACGGTCTGTAATCATACTCGTGATTAACAAACCGATTTTTTGACTACAGACTAAATTGGACTCTCCTCGGCCCTATCACCACTATGAATCACAACAAATTAATTCTTTTTTCTTTTAGGTGACTCGTGAAAAGAGAACATGTGTATTCTGGAGCTTCTCTGAAGAAGACAAGTAAGTACCATAGTTACAAAACTGTTGTTAACGTGAATTATTACAGCTCTTATAGGAGCCGATACTGTCTGAATGGAAGCTTAAAGTATCAGAAAGCCCGTTTGAGCAATAAGTCGAGTGAGTTGAACATTTTCCGAGAGAGGGGGAAAGGGTTTGCAATAGAATAAGTAATTTTGAATCCTGTCAGTCCTCGTCTCTTCCTTTTTTTACAGCTTTGGGAGTTGGTCAAGTGAAGGATGTCAAACAAACATGATATCCGATCGCCAAACGGAATGCGTTTGCAATCACTTAACCCACTTCGCTGTGCTCATGGATTTCACCGAAATTAGTGCTAACGGGAAGGTGAATATACATACACACTTTCTTTTTTTTAAAAATAAAATCATGAATTTAAAAAGGTACACAAGGTTATAACAGGTATTGTGTTTGCATATGTTTATTGTGTGGCTTACACAAAATGTGTAGCCACATTATGGCACGATCGGATTCTTTTTTTTATTTATTTATTTATTTATTTGTCGACGAGAGTCAAACGCATGTCACGTGGTCTAGTGTCGTAAGGCGTACTCTTCTGAGTCCGCCATCTTGGTTATAAGAGTGGTCTGGAGTAATTTTTTTCAGGTGATCGTTTGACGAGTTAGTTTCCTCACATAAGCCAACGCACCCAGAGCGGACTTGTGTTATAACTGCAGCTTTTGCAAGAACTTTTATCCTCTCAAAAGACATTTAACAGCTTGAATCTTCCGTACGAGTTGCACTATACTGAAAGGAGTCATTACACTCTCGCAAGCCAACAACTATCGGTTTGATCTATCGGTGCGGGTTGCACCACTGAGTCTCTGAAAGAGTTTGAAAGTGTTTGAAACTTTCTGAAGCCTCCTGGAAGCGCCATAAAGTGAAATAAGTTGTATTGTAGTTGCATTCTCCTTACACTGTTGAGAATTCACGGAGGCATATTTCAAAACGAC